AGCTTAGATGATAGCTGGTAGCTTAGATGATTCAATCGTGACCGATAACTAACTCTAAATTCCGACTTAGACCGTGTGCTTACTGCAAATAAATCAGCGTTCGCAAGTACGTAGTCAATAAGGTCTGGGCAGAAATTCAAAGTGAGGTTGTTTCGGCCAAGTGAATCATATGAGCTGTAACTTGGATGAGACTTAGCTGAAACCTCCTGGTCGGTTTCAACATAAGATATCCAAATTTGTTTTTTATTCCTTTCTAGTCATACTAGGAGTTCCCCATGACTTTCGTGATACAATTACCCCATGACTTTCGTAATTATTTAACCTCCATCCCCCTCACAGTGAATGGATTTTAAAATCCTGCACTTCCCAGTTCTTTTATTCGCCATTGAATCTACTATCAAACGTCCCTCACGTCACCAAATCAACAATTCAACGCACCTCCAACTGTTGACTTTTTAAACCAGACTCGTCCCTCTCGTTCCGTTGTTCCTGTTTCCAGTTTTTCCTCTGTTTTTCTCACAGCAGCCTCCGCTAAGCGTAGCTCTTTCTCTTCTTTTTCTTCTAGATCAATTTGTCGTATGGAGTCCTCAAGCGAGTCTATTCGTTGTCGATAGGCTTCCACAACTTCTGCACAAAAAACTACTTAACATAAAAAAATACAGAAGAGAAAATTTTCTTACCTGGTGCAACTTGCCGCTGTTTCAAACTTCGGTTGGGGTTTGTGTTTATGATTTCTTTCAAAAGTTTTCTTTCTTCCTCTCCAACAAGAGAAATTGATCTAAATTACAGAATTACGGTCTTCAACTTTCATAAACAAACAAAAACTTAGAAATGATTTACCGTCCAACTCGTCCAGCTCTAGCAGTTCGGCCAACTCTATGTATGTACTGTTTGATTGTTTTCGGCATGTGCATATTGATAACCTAGAAAAATACATAACACTTTTTACCGGGAACTTCAAAAAACAACTGACTGTTTGGATCCCTTCGATATCAAGTCCTCTGGAGGCGAGATCAGTGGACACCAAAACATCTATCTAAAGCGATTATATACATTTACAATCAAACAATTATATACATTTACAATCAAGCCTCTATAGCTATTTGTTGGGCACAAAGTTCGAAAAAGTTTTCCCATTCCCATAAAAACCAAAAGAATAAATGAAAAAACGATTATTCTTGTGAAACAAATGGCGCTCGATACATGAACATCGAGGACGGAAATCATCGGAGCTTTTTGGAGCAAAAAATCGTGCTACGAAAAGGTGGTCGAGATAAAGCATCCAATCACTTCAAAAGGTGCGATGAAGAAAGAAATTCCAGAAAATTAGTAAGAAACTGCGAAATGAAACTAAAGGTAAACCTGATGACATTACTACTTCCTACTGATTTCAGAAATATATGAGAAGTTAACCGACTTTTTTCACGACTACAAAAAGCGAGCTAAGTACTCCTCGTTAAAGATCAGAACTGCAAAGTAAGCAAATTATTGCATTGGGGCAAGATAAATAATTAAGTGCTAGAAAGTTGCAGAGGCAAAAAACGATTTCTGAAATTGCTCAATGACTCAGGAGCAAGCAAGAGCCTCAGTAACAAACGAGTTTTTTGTGCGTATACATATCCATCAGTGGCGGACCGAGGGGGGAGAGAAACCCCAAGAATGATTACTTACATGCATTATAAGAATGTGCAAATGACTTCTTCGAACTTCTAAATGGTTAAAATAATTTTTACACTTTTCTAAAAATTCGATTTAGCTTTGTAAAAACGTCACGCCCCCTCTTTTCCAAAAATTATGGGCCGTAAACCGGCAATCCCCAAAAACTTTTTCGGAGTGCGTGGCTAAGGCCACCACCTCCATCCAAATTTTCGCCCCCTCCCCACCCAAACGGAAATTGTGGGCCGCCTCTGATATGCATAATTTTACAGATACACCATGCAGTGCGTATTTGTCTTCTTTCGATAAAAGACAAGCCAACAAAACAAGCTTTGGTCTACCTACCCAAACTGAAGCTGAGATCATCCAAAAGCTTACACGCTACTATTACCAAGTTTTGTATTTGTGTTCCAAAGATTGCTGTAATTCACCTCTCTCCTCTTGAACTTCGACAATGCTTCGATACGTTGCGCTTGTGAGAGGGATGAGTGCATTTGACCAACCTAAAGCTCACATTATAACTCAAAATTGTAACACAGAAGTTCGAACACACCTTCAAGCCCAAGAGCCCAAGTAGAATATGCATGCGTTGACAATCTTTCTTCATTTTCACAAATACAATAGTGTTCTCCTAAAAGCTGTCATTCATATCTAATCGAAGGCAAAGTTCGAGTAAATTAGTATAAGGGCTTCATGTTTAATTGCGAGAAAAAAACTTGAGTTGCTGCGCAAGCAACGGCTTCACTGATTTTCCGTGGCTAAAAAAATGACTTCAAGCTCTCGCCAGACACCGTACTCACTTTGAGCAGACCAATCAGCGCCCTCGAGTACGGTAAATTACGGTCTGGGCGCCGGCAGAGTCAATTTCTTGCCCACGAGTAAGTCATATAACTCTGACTTGTGCAGTCAGCATTTATAATTAGAAGTCCTATTATCCAGATTCGCTTGGGCACCCCTTCGAAATAGTGAAAATTTCAAAAAAAGCTACCTGAAATGTACGTGTAACAAGTGCAGCAATGATTGCCTCACGGTCACCTTCACGTCCGGCTCGTATCCGAATGAATTCTTGCCTAAATTAATTTTTCACTACTAGAAAAGTCAGACTAATCGTTCACCTAAGTTTCAACGCAGTTTCCGTATTTTCATTGATAAAAATTCTCACGGGTTTCTTCAACGACATCGAGGCCAATTCATCAATCTGAACACTTAACTCAGTAAGAACGCGCAAAGTGCAGACTGTCAATTACATTCCATCATCATTGAACTGAACTGAGAAACTAGACAAACTCTCACTTGATCTGTCATCGTGGCAGAAAACAGCAGCGTTTGCCGATTAGGGGCACATAACCGGATGAGTTCGTTCATTTGGTCCTTGAATGCTTCTTCAAGCATTCGATCAGCTTCATCCAGAACAAGAACCTAAAGTGAAAGTGTTAAGTAAAGATAAGAAAAAGCGAACAACAAGAATGATGCGCTTTTTTCCTTTTCGACACAGTACTCCACAAAAAG